AGAAACTCTCAACACCTGTTTAGCTGTCAGAGTCAAATTAAGATCCAAGTCTGTAAGCTACCAACTCAAACAAAGTTTGACAAAGAGTGGGGGAAGACAAGACATGAGATAAGAGATAGAAAACTCATTTAAGACAAGAGTAAAGAGCAGCCAAAGACAGACGGTTCATGGGTGTCAGAGAAATTCCAAACTAAACATTTAAATTCACGGAGGGATAATCAAATCCAATGGGTGGTAATGGACTAGATGAGACAACGAAGTGTCAAGTCTAGCTTTCAGCAACTGAAGAGCAGAAACAAGTGATTCTTTTCTCTCCTATTTCCCTCCTTTATTGAGGCGGCAGAATTACTCTTCTTTCTTCTTGAAATTGATGGAAAGTGTGGAGCAGTTTGTAATCATGCATGTTGTACTCTACTATCATGGTTAGCTTGTTCATGTGATCAAAAATCCCAGGTTTTAATGTCTTATTATCACAGCTTGATTTATTTGAATATCTTTCACATGACACAAGATTTGATCTTTACATTCTCTCTTTCCTATTGATACTTTGTGAACTGCCTTCAAACACAAACAAAAAAATCATGTGATTCCTTCATAGTGAAGAAACTTTGAGGAACACAGAGTGACAATCAGAGAAGAATGGGCTTGCCACAGGAAACATTAAGCATGCATACATCTACAGCCGCACCTGTGCAAATCTCGGCTAAACATTCTGACCAAGTTCAAACTACCTTCAGGAGATCTGACTTTTGACAGGCGTGTTTCCTCTCCCTAATATCCACAAATAAAACTCTGAAGCAACACTGTGAAACAAAAAAGCTACATAAGGATTGAGGGGGTGCAGTAATTCAGTGAACACATGTACCAGTAGCAACAGAATACGTAGAAAAGGGTATGTAGCTGAAAATGTGGTCAAAAATTTGAATGTCAAATTTGAACAAAGCATATCAAGCGTCTTCACTAGAGATTTGGGCCCATGTTCATAAAATCCTTGCTAAAACAGATGTCAACTATCTACATTGACAACGAAACCTAGGAAGGTTTTATTATCATAAGCTCAGCTCTACAAAGGGACTTGGGTCAAGACTATGTAACACTTTACCTCTTGGAAGATGTTTAGCAAAGGAGTCAGATGACCAGTCAGATGACCAGTCAGATGACCAGTCAGATGACCAGTCAGGTGACTCAGCACCCCTAGTTGACTGTCGACTGGACACTGCTGGGATGCAGACTTCTCTTTGAATACAGGATGACTTGTTTGATCTTCTACACAAAACACATTGGTGATGATGACGACGACAGTGCAAGAATGGGAAGGTGGAATCAGTTGGAGGTGATGAAGGAAGGATGACATGAAATTTGAAACAAACTTCAAGAAGACAGAAATACAGTTTGAGAGGATGGACTGCGTCATGCACAGACAATTAAAGCTGAATAGACTGAATCGCTTGCTTTCATCTTCTTCTACCAGGCTCAATCTTGTTTCACATTGAGCCTTGCCTTTATGGTGTGCATGGGCAATTATCACTACTCACACCGGGTTCCTCTCGGAATTACCAATGAAACTCTATGCATTATTTACATTTGCTAATGTGAGGTCACATGACCATCTCGGCCTCATCAACGAGAGATCCCTCCAAGGCCCCTAACCTTTCTTTCATCTTAACTCCCTGATTATAATCCCACAAGATTTCTCACTCTTTATATCTCCTTAATGATGAAGGCTCTCTCTCTCACTCTCTCTCTCATCCAGGATTAAGTGTTACACACACACTGCTACTTGGGTAATAACAGCCAGCAGCTAAATATGCATGAAGAGAGGAGCATTCCACCCTAGCAACGCATACAAGATGATACCCCATCTCTTCACACCTCTCCATTCCTCCTCTCTGTCAATCAAGCAAACTAACAGGGATGGGGAGTGCTTATATGCAAATAGGCACAACCAGGATGTGTCAAGTATGCAGCAATATAGTCTTTTTTAGCGAGAGAAGAGAAAAAACAGAAGAAAATGCCTCAGAAAAATGGCCGGTGCTTAAGAATTCTGGTAGAGGTGAATAGGTTTAGTAGGAGAGAGAGGGTTAGGGAGATGTTGGCCTGGAACAACAAGAGTTTAATGTCAACAACACACCAGGGAGTGCTACAGGAAGTAGAGGGGTAAAGAACCCTGGTCGACAGGGGCAAATTAGACCAGGAGGGAAAACAAGGGGGATGGAAAGTCAGAGGACAGGCTAAGACGAAGAAGACGACGTCACAGACAAGTAGAATGGAACATGGGAGAAATTCAAGCTGGAGATGCAACAGTTTTGAGATGTCTCTGTATCATGTGGCAACAAGCGGCAGCATTTCAGGCGTCACTTATGGCCTAGAGAGTCTGAAATGATACCACATTCTATTGATCCTTGATCTCAAACAACTTCTATAACATTTCCTTCCCTTTCCCTTGCATCAACCCGTCTTTTCTGGAAATGTTTGTTGTTATAAACAACACGTTAGAGGGATAAGGAATCAACTGACTAGTATTTCTATTTTACAAAACAGGACAATTGAGGTGTAGAGACCTAGTATGGAATAATGTCTCACTGAAACAGAATTATTTCATCTTATCATCATCCCTTGCTACATATGACTCAGTACATTGATACATTAACCCTATCCATTCTATAGCCAAGCATGTAAATCAAAATTACAATCTTGTTCCATGATGGAATACATTATCAGCTCTTATATTCTACTTCACGTTCTCTCTTATCATATGTTATAGGCTACACCTTTGCAATTAAAATGTGACTATCACAAACAAATAAACATTTTTATTCCTTGATAGATTGACCATAAAGATAGCCATTCATTCCAGCATCATACTATACATGTATAACAGGTCACATCAAACATATTATTAATGTTTCTGATTAAAGCTTAGCACTTATTAATTCCATTGAAATGTTCAAGGTCTCTAGAATAAAGATTTGAAGAAAGACATAATATCCAATCAACTATGTCTAATATGAACCAACTCTGCTTAATCTAATCCAAGATGATAAATAGAAGAGTCTTTCTTTAAGCTTTCATCAATGCCTGGCTTCCATCATACAAACATAAGTGCTTGATGCTGCGCTTCTTTGATCAAAGTACCTACCAAATCAAACTATTAATACCTTGAGAGACATAGATAGACAGAGAGAGAGAGAGAGAGAGAGAGAGAGAGAGAGAGAGAGATGGAGAGAATAAAAGAAAGAGGGACTTATGAGGAGTGAAAGGAAGAGGGAGTAAAGTAAGACTAAGTCAAAGGTGGAGTAAAGAAAGAGAAACCTTGGTGTCAAAACATCTCCCAGAGGTTGAAGTAGGAGCACAATAGCTAGCTCTCACACCTATTATACCTGGCTAGGCAGTAATCACCATAATTGATGCAATTTGCATATGTAAATGAAATTATCCTGACCAAATGTCCTTGGGTAGGTATTAGTGACTTAATGCTGGCTAGGTGGAAGGGAGAGAGAAACCTTTATCTATGATGATTACATAAAAGAGCGTCCAAGCTACAATACTCATGCCATAGCATATACATCAGAATAGTATGATCTCTCTCATTCCAACCTTTTTCCTTTGGTTCAACTTTTCCTTTCTTTCTTTTCACTAATTCTCCGTTGGGTGTGTGTTGGCTCATATCTTTTTCCTTTCTAAAAGTCAGACAAAAATTGCAAATTTCCTAATCTTGGAGAGAGGATTAAGATTGTGAATGAAGATTACCAGAAGACAATGCATACTGTCACGGCTTAAAGGTAACCAAAAAATAGTTTACCATGACTGCTTAGAATCTAACCAACAGGTTGTTCTGTCAGTAAAAAAAATTTCTTCTTTCAAAAGTCTCAGTACTCACAATGTTATGTCTTCCACCCCCCCCCCAGCTCTTCTCTCCCTATTCCCACCTCTGTACTTGAATTAATCTATCTGAACACCCATATATCAAATCAAATATGGTTTCCTCACATAAAGCAATGAGTGCGCAATTTAACTTCTTAATTAAGAGGGCATTTCTGAACGGTTTTCTAACATACTGCCAGAAAAAAATCAAATGACTATATGAAATGCCCATTCTACTATTCCATCTCTCCAATACAGAAATATTAAGAATGCTTTGCCACGATAAAATCACTGATACAATTCTGAAGTGTCAAACTGTCAATTATAGACCTCGCCTTGAAACAGTCCCTGAAAATTAATTTCAAACCAGGTACCAACAAAAAAACTGTGAACACTTAGAAATGAAGTCATCATTTGACTCGATATAATCAAGTTTGAGCACAGACCAATTCATCTAAGCATTCATGCCTGGTTAGTTCATGTATGATGGGAAGTCATTATACATACCCTTCACAACAAACAGCATCAACGTATGGGTCCTCTGTTGTAGAACAATTCAAAGAAGAGCAAATAAAGATTGTATTCATCTTGAGATATTTGATGAAGCGGATGAAATCAAAGGAATCATCCAAGTGTCCATGCCTTATTTTGTTGTCACACTGTCACACCGAGTCAATAACGCTTCCTACAAAACTCTTGCTATCATCCCTTTACATCCAGGCACGGCTAGCTGGGCCAGCCAGCACACAATAATCAAATCATACTCTGATTAGGACAGGAAACACACAAGTTGAAGTATGTTTTTGTCCGATTGGCGGACTGGGATGATTCCAGAGCAACAAGGGTCAAAGGCCACTCAGAGGATATCCGCAGTAAATGAGATTCTATCTGCTTCATAATTAGCCATTTCTAGCTTTCTAGATGTATCCTAACATGTCTTATCAATGACACATGTTGAAATAGAAAGTTATTACTCACACCAGTTATTACAAGAAAACAAGTGTTTACAAGCCATACTCTTCCAAGACTTAAGACTTGTTCCGTGGGTTCATACCGTGAACAAACGTTGAGATTAGGCGATTAGATAATTAAAGATGATAACTATGATAGTTATGGAAATAACATAGAGATATTACCTTCAATTCATGCAAGAACTTGCAGACATCTTATTCCAAGATCGGGAGAGGTAAAACAGGTGCTCCCTCCGCCCTCACTGTATAGTCATCAGCATAGAGTTAAACTGCCTTGTGAACTGTGAGAGAAAAACAGAGAGTTAAGATGACTTAAGCAGGCAACCCATTAAAGACTGTGCAACCAAACCTAGCCAATGCATTTAAGAACTACTCTACGTGTAGATGACGACTATTGTTCTTAACCATCCATTGGCCTTTACTCTCCAAACCAATCAAAAGCGCTAGAGTTTGTAAAAGAATTCAATGAAAAGGCGGTGAGGCACAAACAGGGCTTCGCCAAATTAATGGGGTCAGAGTTATTGTACTCGCATGAGACCAGAACAAAAGGTGAGGAGAGAGAGAGAAAGAGAGGGGGAGGGTAGAGAGAAATAAAAAGAAACTTAGCATGCCGAAAGCTTCTCTATTGTGACACAGGTGATATTGAAAAGGAATTAGTGAAGAAAAAGATGTATGTTGAAAAGAATATTGAAGAATTGTGAGACGAGAAAGAGGAAGAGTGGAGGGGTTATTCACTGCGGTATTTATATTGAAATTATGTGAGTTATAATGAGGGATTACACACGCATATAGCTTAGAGGTAGAAACCATAGACTGAAATAACATGTAGAGATTGAATGTAGCCAAACAGCGCAATGGCTCCCAATTGAGTTAACTCGTTAAGCTCTACGCTTGTGATTTACATATGCAAATGTAATTAAGGAGAGGCCTGCACCAACAAGAGTGTTGTGGTTGACTGGTTGGGAGCAGCGCATGAAATTACTACACTTCTGTAGGTAGGCAAGCTGGCTATCCTACCATATTACCTGCTTTTCTTAGCTTGTTTATCTTTGTCTGTAAATGCAAATATTGTCTCTAGACAGTCAAAGCTTTAAGCCTAATTAGATTTTGATAAAACCCAGACAACTCTTCAAATTAAAGCTGGAGCTGCTAATAAGGATGAGCCAGGTTTCACATGGTTTCATTAACGTCATCTATAAACTTGTGTTATGTGTTCTCAAGTGGAATGCAAGAAGCAATACCTAGGCTCGACCCACGGCCAAACTTGTGGTTTGATAGTCTTGATTTGATGAGTGCAGTGCTCCAGCAATTTCTTGGCTCTTCTTCAGAGATAATCATGAGTTTCATTACATTCAAGAACAAAAAAAGTTTTCTAGATAGTATAGACAGCTTTGCTGATTAGTCTATGTCAATTACTCTTCAGAGAGTAGACAGATTACATGGACCTGGGTAAGTTCTTAATGAGCAAAATGACAATCCTTATCCTCTTACTTCATAACCCTCCTTCCTCTTGCTGCACCTTCCCTCCCCCTCTCGTTCCCTTTGTCTCTCCTCCTCTCTCTTTCTCTCTCCCCCTCCCTCCTTCTCTCCTCTCTCCCCCTCCCTCCCTCCCTCCCCTCCCTCTCTCTCTCTCTCTCTCTCTCTTTCTCTCTCTCTCTCTCTCTCTCTCTGTCTCTCTCTCTCTCCCTCTCTCCAGCTCATACTCTCTTCCCTTTCTCTCCAATTATTCAGTTCCTACTAACACACACTTTTCAATAGTTATCATAATATCTTTAAATGGTTTTACATTGTTTATTACATAACCTTGAATTTAACCGGCCATAAGGAGATGAGGTAAAAATCTTCATCAATCACTTTACCACAATATGTAACAAACAGAAATATCAATTCTTTGTATGCGACATATAATTTGGTCCAATAACGATTGTGTGCAGTCTGTGCAGCAATGGCACAGCAAGAGTTTATCTTACAAATCTATGAACCTAACAATCATGTATCTGGGATCTATGATTCAACAAGACATGCCATGATATGAAGACAATCCAGTACTAGTTAGCCTACAACATGTATATAGCAGACACAACTGGTCAAATGGTTGGGATTTGCCAAGTTAGAGCAAGAGAGAGCAAAAGAGAGAAAGAGAGAGATATAATGGGGGATAGAAAGAGAGATATAATGGGGGATAGAAAGATGGAGAAAGGAGGATGCAGATGGAAAAAGAGAGCATGGAAGAGAGACAGACAGACAGACAGACATATAAAAGTGTAAAGAATGAGACATGAAGAGATGGAGAGAAGGAGATAGAATTAAGGAAGGAAGTGTTTCCTCACCAGCTCTAGGCAAAACATGGCCAATTGCAGGACCTGGACAGAGCTAGACAAACAAGAGCGAGAGACAGAAGAAAAAGAGAGAAAAGGAAAGGAAATAAAGACATAAAAAACAGATATAATGTTCCCACTCACTGGCTAGAGGCATAACATTGCCCTCAGTATTTTTCGTCTAGGGCTCACATAAAATGAATATTTGGCATGGGCATTCTTGCTCATGCTCCAGTCACTAAGGGCTGCTTACTAAGGCACTATCAAGCCACTATGAGCGTTCCAATAGCAGTGGAAAGTACCTGATCATGGTCAATTGGTGCAATGGTCAGAACTGACATTGATTTGGCCCAAGATGACCAGGCAGTGACCAGACTAGATGTAGGGTAGTGTCAAGGGCAGTCATGACTAGTCTTCTACAAACAGACTTTAGTAGTAGTATATATGCGACACATTGTAGGTGCAATTTCCCAGTCATATCAGGTCCTATATTATCAATCACAGTAGGCCTGTTTTCATCAGACCGAAGTTGCAAGATAGCCTGTTATTTTCAGACTCCGGATATTTTCCCAAAGCTAGAAATTGTGTCTTCACCAGACCGATAACCTCATCATAAACTAGCTCGGACAGGCGTGAATTAGCCAGCTATTTCCTAAATAGCAGGCTGTTTTGAAAACAAAACCCAAGATTTCTTGGGATATTTTCTCAACCAAAAGCCCACTAATTCCAACCGCGGGCTGATGAGGACGCAAATTAGCTGGCTAATTTGAGATTAAAATATTGGGTTATTTTGCAACTTTGGTCTGATGATGACAGGCCTCATGATCCTATGACCATAGGTGTAAATGATAGTTGAAACTAGACTGTGAATGATAGTAAAACTGGATATTTTGACATGATCATTACTTTCAGTTTAATAGAAGAACTACCTGTATATCTATCAATACAAGCGCATGGTACATTGATCTGTCAGGTTAGCAAAACCCTCAAATCACTTTTCACCCTCCAGGGGCTACTTTGAATATTCAGAGAAAGAATTGTTTCTATAATTTGGGCATGCATAGCCAGTCCCTCTACAGGCCTACTGGAACTATTTCATTTCTTCCAGGAGCAAGATCACCGTCAGCTTGTCAACTTGAGGGCAGTAAGGAATATCATCTACTGAGAGCAAGGAGGGAGCAAGGAGGGAGCTAACTGTCTGTCAATGATATTGCCTCATGCCCCTCTGGACCTCAATAGATATCTTATCTAAATCAGTGCTCTTCTTCACTATGTTAGCATCAAATAAGATTGATCCCTGACTCCTAGTATCCAACATTAAATTGAAGTTTATTTGTCACATATTCAAGGATGATCTCCTTTTTGTTTTACTTGTATCTGCTGAGATCCAGCATAGCATTAAATTTATGCATCATCTGTTTGGAGCAAGAAGGGCATTAACTCCCAAGATCTTACAGAGTTTATGCCCTTCTGCAGAGCTGCCAACCTTGTGCGACCATAAAAAGGAATCATGATGGCAAAAAAAAGGAATTCATAAAAAAAACAACTTACAACCACGCGTGACACACTTCCAATGCAGAAATGTTCATTCCTCATGCTGTTTTTTCCATACAAGCAGGTATTTTTTGTGTGGTTATTTTGATATTGTCGGCTTTTATTATTTATGAGAATTTTTTTCTCTTCAAGTATGTTTTAAACTTAGTTTTCTATTGACTTTGTGATCAAATGACCCTTTTAGGGCAGTTGTTGGACGTGCGGAATGTTTTTAAAAAAATTAAATTATGAAGAAAAAAACGTAATACCGTAATTCGGAGGAAAAAACAGAGTAATTCTGGCAAAAATGGAGTAATTCTGGCAAAAATGGAGTAATTCTGGCAAAAACGGAAGCTCTGCTTCTGGCTCCAAAGGGATAGTATATAAAGAATATATGTACGTAAATTTAAATTTAAATTCAAAACAAATTTGTTATAGTATTCGGCAATATTGGTCATAAACTGACTGACTTGCCTAAACTTAACAACAACAATAACAACAGTCCATCTGGCTCTCACTCTGAGCACACCATACCCACCAAGCCTCCGTGGTATGAATCTAGAGACTAGTACAACTACACTGACCACAGTGGCATTTGTCACAACTTGTAACGCTGCTGGCTATAAATAGAGAATATCAGACAGACCCTAGCCTACCTACTCTACTCTTAGCTGCCCAGGCCAGGCCATCCTGCTGCCTGTATGAGCAGTGATGTCATCCTCAAAAACGGAAGGAACTCCGGCTTTCTATCTGTCTGCTCAGACAGGCAGCGTTACAAGGAAGGTCATGCACAGACTCTCACTCACTCAAACATAGATAGCCGTATAGCACAGGATAAGATACCAATCTGGGTTAATATCAATTATTAGAAAGCTCAAACTCTCACCTTGCCACTCCTATTACCTCCAATGCATGCTGGTATGAAAGCATAGAATGTCTAACCCGCTGTTTAAAAGTCCTATTCATTTGTGTACCGTTTTGAATAGTTCTCACCACTCCAACCTTAAGTATTACCTGGCATGCAAGAAGCTGATTAGCACGGCTGAATAGGTAACAATACACCCCTCCTTCTCTTATTCCCTCCCTCCCTCCTCACCTTCATTAACCCTCTCTTTGTCTCTTTCTCTATTGCCTGCAGGTAGAAATCTTTGATTGGGGGGCTACCATAGTGGACCTACCTCCACCACCCCCTCACTCATAGAGAATAGGGAGGGGTCAGGGATAGTTCAATTACCGCTTAATTCTTATGGCAAACAAGGCCCGCTTATTTCACCAAAATTAATGATCTTTAGTAAGCTTGTAAGAAGATTGAATTTCAATTTTAAATCTTGAATTCTATTCATGGAAGTATGGTGGAATTCAACAAATGCTGCTTCTACAAAATTATTGTAATATGAAAACAAGCGAACTCAAGGGTTGTTATGAAAGAT